ACACACACACACACACAGAGTGTTAAACATTGGTCAAGGGTGTCTAGAAACAGTTTAGAGCCAGTAGAACCCAAAGATTAACTTTGGGGCTCTCTCCATAGACCAGAGGCCCAGGTGTTGCCTATAATGAAACCTGCCAGGGATTTTAGAAACAGGAGACCGTCAAGACAGAAACTAGGCAGCAGCTTCCTAGCTAGTTCTCCTGTTCTGAGTTTAAAATAATCCCAGCCAGGCTCTGCCTGCAGCCTGCAGATAGATACCTCAAGTTGCCGGACCGTTGGTGAGGTCAGCCCTTCTGGTCTTTGTCACTTATAGATGCTAAGTCTGTGGGTTTCCCGTCTCTGCCTTCACTTCCTCCCAGCGGCCACGGGCACTGCTCAGGCCGTGTGTCCAGGCAGTAACCACAACTGTCAGCTACCTGCCTCCTGAGGGCTTGGTCTCCAGTACGGAGGGTCACTTATACATAGCCCCTTTGGGGGAGGCTACAAGAAGAGGGGCCTTAGCAGAAAGACTTGTCCAAGAGCAAGAGGCCGCCGGCTCCATTTCCTCCTGTGTCTTCCATGCTGCTTTTCCAGCGACACACTAAGTTCAGCAGAACCAGGCGGGGGCAGTCTAGTGACTAAAAACATCAAGCAAACACCAGCTAAGCCAAAAAGTGAAATAGAACCCAAGTTGCAGAAGCCCCTCCCCCATCCCAACCCCACTCCATTCCCAGGGGATATATGTTCCTAGACCTGTGCTCACAAAATGGTCACATTTCTTTCTTTCTTCCTTTCTTTCTTTCTTTCTTTCTTTCTTTCTTTCTTTCTTTCTTTCTTTTTTTCTTTCTTTCCTTCTTTCTTTCTCTCTCTCTTTCCTTTTTCCTTTTCTTTCTTTTCCTTTCCCTTCCCTTCCCTTTCCCCTTCCTTCCTTCCTTCCTTCCTTCCTTCCTTCCTTCCCTCCCTCCTTCCTTCCCTCCTTCCTTTCTTTTTCAGTTTTATCACCAAGATATACATATCAGCACCTCTAAACACAATCTTTTGTTTTTGCCCTTCTGAGATTTCGTGTATGTGGAATCAAGGAGTAGCTTCCTCATGTGTGATTCAGAGGGCAGTATGTACATGTATGTGTGCGTGCAGATGCACACGTGCTTGGGGGTGGGGGGCAGGTGTTTGCAGAGGCCAGAGCTGGTGCTGGCTGTTTTCCCAACTGTCACTCTTCTGGTCTTTTGAGACAGAACCCCTCAGTGAGCCTGGAGCTCATCAATTCAAACAGGCTGGGTAGCCTGTGAGCTCCCAGGACCTGCTCAGCACTGAGATACAGACACCCACCACCACACCTGGAGTTGTGAGTCTTGGGGATCCGAACTCAGGGCTTCTTGATTGTGTGGCAGGTGTTTTGCCATTGGAGCCTCTCCCCCGTCCCCGCCTCGGTGCGTTTCCTGTTTGTGACACTTATTAGTGCCCTGTGGAGCACCCTTGTTCACTTGGTTTTTATAGCCCTTTCTATTGTATGCATAGATTTGCTGAAGGACTTGACAGTGTATATGGTAACTTGTGAACATTGGGAATGTGGGCAGCTTCTGAGAAGCAGGGAGAGAACCCTTCGGTCCTTCTGACACCGTCTTGGGTTAGACACACGTGTGATTTGGCAGAGGATCCCTTTCGTTATGATTTGTCAGAACCTTTTTTTTTTTCTAAATCATGTACTTCCTGTTTATCTCATCACAGGGGTCCTGCACATTTCAATGGGCAAAAAAAGGGAGGGCAGTTAGGAAAGATAATGGATCCACTACACCTTTTTCTTACTTTCTTGAGTACATTTAAAAAAAAAAAAAAAGAAGTGGGGGCTGTTGCTTCAGTGAGCTTGTAATGATGTTCCTTAGGTTATTTTAGCTTTTTCCTCCAAACAGGCACAAAGGAGGCTTTAAGCTCAAATTCTCTGTAGATATTTTCCTGTGCCTTAAAACAGCTTCCTTTTCCCCGGGACTCCTAGCCAGTGTTTGCCCAACCTCTATGAAATCTATTAAAAAGTCTCATTATCCAAAGTACCCTGAGCAGCCACAGCAAGGGGGCTGTTCATGAAGAAGGGTTCGTTGTTATCACAAGGCTACCCACGGTAGAATCGCCAGCTCCAGGTAGAGAGTGTGAAGTGGAAAAGTGTTCAAGTGATAACAAAATTTCACGGAGCACGAGGTTCAAGTTTCTGAGACTGGACAGACTCCTTAGGAGGATGGCGAAACAAGCGTCTTGGGAAGGAGGAAGGGCAGGGAACAGGACTCCGTTTGCTGTATCGATTTTCACTCTGCTGACCACACGTTTCTCACCCCTGGAGGTGGAACTGTTGATCCTGTGGCATGAGTAGTGGCCGGAGCCCCTCCCAGGTGCTTTTCCAAAGTGGCGGCACTGATGTGTGCTCCCATTGGCAGCAAAGGAGGGCAAGCGTTGCTCCATCCCGGCAACACTTGGATTACTCATTGTTTACACATCTGCCAGGGTCCACAGTGTCATGGCATTTCTTCCGTGAGCTTAATTTGGAGTGCCCAGATTTCTCACCGGGTCAGTTGTACCGTCTCTCTAGACCTCTGCTTCACTGAGTACCTGTGGTCTGCTGTATTGGATTTCTTTGTTTAGCAGAGAAACATTGCTATGTTGCTCGGGCTAGCCCTAAATTCCTGGCTCCCACCGACCCTTCTACCCCAGCATGTGAGAGGTGGGCATCACAGAGCCTGGAGCTTTCTTGTCAACTTTAGCTAGAGAAAACCAACCAAGGCCTGAGGCAAGAAGATGGATTAGTTAGCAAGTTCAATGTGGATTTAGAAATTGGACTTCAGACCCCATCTTTTATTTCCATGACTTTGGGGTCTCAGGCATGAGGGACTCTCAGTAAGGAAAATGACATTGAGATGTGTCTTTTGATCATTTTTCTTCCCAAACAACTTTTATAGGTATATGCACAAACTCTTCATGAGTTGACACCTGTGTGCTTCTTGTTTTGCTTTGTTTTCCTTAAGACAGTGTCTCCTGTACCCAAGGCTAGCCTCCAACTCACTGTATAAAGGAGATGGTCTTGAACTATTGACCCTCCAGCCTCTACTTCCTGTTGGAGGGATGATAGTTTACGTCTCCTCCTCCCCTTCCCCTCTTCTTTTGTCCTTTCTTCTCTCTCTGTTCTCTCTCACTCTCCCCTCCCCCATCACTGTGTTCTGTGCCTATTTTCATGTGTGGATGTGCACCTTGTTCCTTTGAGACAGGCTCTGTCACTGACTCTGACTCTCACTGCTGCAGCTGAGCTGGTCAGCCCGGAAACTCCTGAATCTGCCTATCTACACCCTCCAACACTGGGCTTACACATGCAGGTGCCTGTGTCCAGCTGGCTTTTACAGCAAGGGCTCCTACCCACCGAGTCACATACCCAGCCTCTCACATGTGTGTTTGTTCACACATTATCTATCCTTTCTGCAAGCGTCTGGCATCTACAAAATAGAGCCAGCACACACTGTGGATGGCTTCCCTAAAAACAGCCCCAACTCTCTATCCATATATGATGTTTTATGGCATGGTTGGGCATTGCCCAGTAACCAACAAGGTTTTCAGCAGCCACATGACTGTCCGAAAGGAGTTGGTACCTCAGGATGCTGGTGACTCACTGAAGGTTGGAGGGGCTGTTTCCATAGTGGCAAAACTTCAGAATAGCCATCGGCCAGGAAGTGTTTGGTTGTGTATCTTCCACCAGCTGCTTTAGTGTATCTTGCCAGCTGCCCTGAGCTTCAAGCAAGGGCTGGGAGGGAGCCCTGGCCACTGGACCAACCAAGCACCATTTCAAAAGGAAATAGTTTTTAAAGTTGCAACCTCCCGCCACTTTCAGGAAATGGGCTGCCTGACAGGAGAAAGGGAAGTGTAATCACATATGGTTCCAAGGTCCAGCTTAGCCTGAACTGTGGCTCTGGTCTTGACATCTTGTACCCAGAGAAAGCAGCACAAATCACCCCAGTTTGCAGACAAACTCCTGGCTGCTGGCCTGACTGAACTCTTCTCAACCTCAATGCATTTGGGTGTTTTTGAATGCTCAGAGACTTCATCTTCCTTGTTTTAGCAAATGCAGAGGCCACGGAGGTGTCCCAGGGACTCACCCTGCGCAGATCTCGTGATTAGAAGGCGTGAACTACTAGAAAGCGGGGAATGGCATGGCTGGGGAGAAATGAGGCTCTGACCTGGAAAAGTCACATCCCTGGGTGCCACGTCAGCCTGGAACACACCCTGGCTAGGGCCTAGGGTTTTGAAGTGCCACTTCCTCCTATGGTGTCCGGATTGCCCTGTTCACGTGTCTCGGTTCAAGAGTGCACCTGTGTGTTGTCACCCGGCATGGGGGCCTGGAATACTACATGTAGCTCATGAGACCAGTGAAAATGGAGTCCTCAGGTCATCTGCAGGTCCTGCTGAGCCTCAGGCTGTCTCTGTGGGTTCATCTCACGTGGCTGCCATTCCCTTCTCAAGCACGGGCTGTCGATACCATCTGATAGTATTAAATAGTGTTCTAAGCCTGGCCCTGGTGTTCGGGAGAGGGTGAGAGAGTGAAGAAGGCCTTGGGGAGTGGAAGCATTTGTAGTCTTTCATGTGTGCTCCAGAAGGTACAGTTAAAATGCCCACTGGATTCCCCGTCCGCACCACACCTGCACCTGTGGTTAAAAAAAATGGAGACGAGTCTAGGGGCTCCATAGATACCCAAAGCCTGTGCCTGTTGCCCTGAGCCACACAGATCCCAAGCTCTTTTACTGATCTCCAGAACTTCACAGCCCTGCTGGATCTTTGCACAGTCCAGCTCCATCTCTTGGCATTTCCTTTGTTCTGGCTCGCTGACTCTGGTACCGAGCCTACCTGTACCAGAGGTCTGGGTGCTGCCTGCCAATCACATGCCCACTTGCTGGTTCTGGTGAGCACCTGCTGCTCACAGTGGCTAGAGTACTGTTTCCTGGGTCAGAAGGTCAGAGTACGGTATGATACGGTCTGTTCTCTCTCCAGGATCAGGGCCCGAGACAACAATGGCTCCTTCGCGCTGTGTCTGCTGCACGAAGGGAAAGTTTTGCATTATCGCATTGACAAGGACAAGACAGGGAAGCTCTCCATTCCCGAGGGGAAGAAGTTTGACACCCTCTGGCAGGTGTGGATATATATCTGTGTGTGCCTGTCTCTTTCTGTGTGCCTGTCTCTGTCTCTGCCTCTCTCCTCTCTGAAGGACACAGTGCAGGTCCATAGAACTGCTAGATCAAAAACTCTTAGAAACAAGAGGAGGGACAAGGCAATCTGCCCCATACACTCCCTCAATCCACTCTCTGATTTCCGATGGCTTGTTTGAGACATGTTGATAGAGTCCATTATCAAGTTTGTGAGGCTACAGAGATTTCCATCACCTTTCTCGAGCTATTAAGTTCTTGGTCCTTCAAGATCATGTGATTCAGGGCAGTGCTCAGAATTTTAACGGAACGTCCTGCCATCCAGAACTAGAATAGCATGGAATAACACACACACACAGACAGAGAGAGACAGAGAGAAAGAGAGAGAGAGAGAGAGAGAGAGAGAGAGAGAGAGAGAGAGTAATAGGTGACCAAGGGCTTGTGACCCAGCTTCTCCTGGAACTGTGAGATGCCAGGGTGACATCAGGGTAGATAAACCATGTGTACTTACCCTCATAGCAGAGTCCCTGTGGGAAGTCAAAGCAGCCTGGGAAACAAATTTACACTACCTTAGCTCCAGGCAGCTGCCTGTTTAGAAACACTGCAGGCCTGCTCTGCAAAGGGTTCATTCTCAACCAAGCTCTCAGTAAACCTAGAGACAACTCAAGCATGCATACGTACCCTTACACTGTTCACCCCGCTCCCCACAATTGTTGCTAAGCACATTTTTCTTCCTTAATTTGGGATCACAGCTGCATTAAGTATGGAGACAGAAGGAACAAAAGTTGAAGGCCAGCCTCAGGTACATAGTGAATTCAAGGCCAGCCTGGGCTACATAGCAAAATCCTATCTCTGCAAACAAACAAGCCAATAGAGGTCTAGCTGATGGAGATGGTATGGAGACTCCAAACCCCTAGTACATCATCACCTGGCTGTGTGATGGTTTGTTTTAATGGTCAGTTTGTCACACTCTAAATTGCCCGAAAAGAGAGCCTGAAGAAGGATTGTGTAGACTAGGTTAGAGCGCAAGCTTGTCAGTGGGGACTGTTCTGATTGCGTTCATAGACGTGAGCAGACCAGGCTGTGGTGGGTGGCACCGTTCCCTGGGCTGGAGTCCTGGTCTGTGCAAGAGTGGAGAGTGTTAGCTAAGCAGTAAGCGAACATGCATCCATCCACTCTCCATTCTTGATTAGGGATGTAACTCACAGTTTCAAGGCTAAAAACGTTTGTTGACTCTACCCAAGGACATCCTCAGCCCATCCCCTAAGTGCCCTGTGGAAGAGACTGCCTGGGATTTGCATAGCTTAAAGTCTGTGAGGGCCATGACTCTGTCACTGTCTCCATTTCTCTCCTTCCATTGACCACTTTCTTCCCTGCTTCTCTTGCAGCTAGTAGAACATTACTCTTACAAGCCAGATGGTCTGTTAAGAGTCCTCACCGTACCATGTCAGAAGATCGGTGCACAGTTAGGTAAGTGATTGGGACACATTGGATCTGATTTGGGGGACATTGGTCACTATCAGCCTGGTGTCAGATTTGTCTATTCCAAACTAATGTAGGCTGAGGCTTTGATTTTATCATGTGATTAAACTTGATGTCATTCCAATTCTAGGAATCATTAGTTGAAGTATAATTAATCACTATATTTAATTGCATGTATTACCAGGGATGGTAGCACAAGCCTTTAATCCCAGCATAGGAGACAGAGGTAGGCAATCTGTGTGAGTTCAAGGCCAGTTTGGTCTATATAGTGAGACTCTGTCTCAAAAAACAAAATCTCACTTAATTGAATGTGTGAAAAATTCAGCAAAAGAGCAAAGTATTGATGCAGGAAGTTTACTGTCTCCTCAGTTTGTTCCAGTTGTATCGATTGATCTGACAAGCAGGTGGTTTGCAAGAACACAACAGTAATTGCCTAACCGCAACCATGGCATATTCTTCTTGCAGGTCAAACGCAAACTTCAAATGCTCACCCTGTGGTAAGTGTTATTACAGGTGCCTGTGCTGAGGAAGCAGTTGTATTTATGTACTCAGGGAGTCCTGTCTTAGTTAGCACAGGTTCTGGACTCCAAGCTCATCCCTGAAGACCTTGGAACTCCCGCGAGTCTGGGGAGGCACCTGCCTGTGGCCACTAGTCAGCTAGCCTGTTTTTGTGATTTCATGACTGGCTTATTTTCTCTTCATCCTTTAGAGAAGTATACAGAGCCAGGAAGAAACCCACTGTTAGATCAGAAAGGTCTCCTGTCAGATGTAGCAAAAGGGGGCATATTGTTCAAGCTCAGCTTGGCACTGTCAATGTGAACATGTGTGAGCCATCCACAGGCCTGCTGACATGCATGTCAGTAGGTCAGGGCTGGCAGACTGGTATCTCCTTGAGTTTAGCTACTCAATTCCTTTGACCAAACCAATTGACACAGAATTACTAGAGATTTGACCTCCTGGGTAAACCGGTTTGGCCAATGATTAGGGTAGGGAGGGTATGCTTGGTAAGAACTCAAGAGAAAGGTCCAGAGAAGGATAGAATCTGGGAGCCTTGGCCAGAGACAACATACCACTCCATGTCACTAGACGAGACTGCACCCCTGACATCCCTGTGTTGGCCTACCACTTTCATCACCATGCCCACAAACAGAGAAGGATCTCAAATCACTTCTCCATCCGGGATGTCAGAGCTAGTACTTTGTTACTGGGCAGATGTTGATCTTCTCGTATCTTGGGGACTCCAGCGTGAACATCCCAGACCATTAGCACTAATTGGGGAATAATTCTTGACTTATAACTCCTAAACAACAAAATCAACCAAAAGCCAAAAATGTGTTCTGTCTCCAGTGGGGACAGGAGGCCACTCAGTACTGACACTGTTGATTCCAGAGTTAATGCCTTCTACCAAACTGAGAGACCTTGAATTGGCTAAAACACCAGTGAACTTGAGGGTCCTCTGAAATACAGTGCTACCAGGGTCCCCACTTGCATGGGGTTCCCATGTTTCTCATGGCTCTGGTATTTATCATCTGGTGCCCTTGAAACAGATCTGTTGGTCCTCTCATCTCAGGCATGTCCAGCTTGTGGCCTAAGGGCTGCATATGTCTGAGGACTTGTACATGCCAATGTCGTAAGCAGCCAGTGCCATTGAACAGAGACACCTCTGAGCAATCAGTGACTAGAGTCACTAGTGGAGCCTGACACACGAGATTTCCACAGACAACATGGCAGCTTCCTGTCTCAGCTTTAATTTTGCCGCCTTCAATAGAAACTATTTACTGAATCTGGACATCCCTGCCCCAAAGGTAGGCTCTTCTGGCAGCATCTCAAATGGTCCAGATTTGCATGCAGGAAATCTCGCTGGGGCTGGTGAAGGGGGTGGACTGTGCACTTGCAGAAGTAAAGTCAGGCAGCTTGTCATGACAAGAAATATCTTGCATGTATTTTCTGAAACTAAACGCTCTATTTCTCTCTGCCATTGTGGTTTCTAGAGTTGGTCACCTGGTGGAATAATCTCAAGAATCAAATCCTACTCCTTCCCAAAGTCTGGCATCAAAAAGGTGCTAAAGCATCCCCTGCTTGCTGTCCCTGACTAAGTGGTAGGATAGACCCGCATGCAGACCATGCTTGGCTCCCTCTCCGCTTCACCCAGCGCAGCTCTGCCTCCATGCCTCCACTGCATGCCCACGTTTGAATGCAGCTGCTGAGCCGAGCGGCCCTTGCACAGTGCATTCCATGCTTTGCCTGCAGCTTCTCCATCGCTGCTGCTGCATAGCCACACCATGTTGCCTTGTCCTCTGCCAACACACAGCTTCGATCTATTTCAGTGAGGACAACCAGTGCCCACTGACTCTCACATCAGACACTGCATGGTCAGCTCGCCCTTGTTGTCTAGAGTCATGTGTTGCAGCATTAGCGCCTCTGTCACATGATGCTCTTAACAGTGGAGGGAAGTGAGGTCTCTGGAGGTGCTCACCCCCCGCCCCGAGACATTGGACTGAATTTTGAGGGACAACAAAAAGAAGACCTCAAGATAGCTCAGAGGCTAAAAGCACTTGCCACCAAGCCAGACAGCCTGGGTTTGATTCCTAGAACCCACATGGTGGAAGGAGAGGACTCACCTGTAAGTTGTCCTCTGATCCCACGTGTGAGCTGTGACCCAGGCACAGACTAAATAAATAGATGTCAAAAGTTTTTTTGGGGGGCGTTTGGGAATCAAACTCAAGTGCTTTACCACTGAGCTATGTCCCAGCTGTTCTATCAACAGCTGTTTTCATTTTGTCTCGATGTTTTTCCAAGCACATGTGCACGTGGCTATGCAGAGACACACAGAGCTGAATAACAGAAGGCATAAAGGCCCAGACATTTTGCTCAGTAATTATCCTCTAGATTAATCATTCGCTTAATCCTGTTGACCAGATCACAGGAGAGAGTAACATGATGGCTGAAGAGAAAGGAGACTGTCCTGTGCTCTGCGCTGTCTGTGATGGTTAATGCTGGAGAATGTTCTGCAGCTGCCCCGTCTCTACAGCCTGGGCCTCACCCAGATTCTGACTCACTCTCCATGCGGAGGGCCCATTTTGTGACTGGGACGCTCGTATCCAGCGAGCTCAGTGGGCAGCAGGGAGCATGGTACCTCACGAGCTGGGGTACTTAATATTCTCCAGCTTAGGGAGCTTTTCAAAGGTGCCAGTTATAAAGGCCACTCGGGCCAGCAGCTACAGCACAGTGGGTCAGTGTTTGACTCACAGACACCGTAGTCCTGAATGTGACACCATACTTACCAATCCTCACAGAACTCTGTGGGGCAGCGAGTAAGCCTGTGTCTCCTCCTCCTCGGCTTGACTCCTCCTGAGCTTCCTACCACAACCTGTATGTCATTCCACTTGCCTAATCCAAGGCCTGTTGCTAACTCACAGCCCCCAGCTCTGCACTGTCCTAGCAAGAGACACATCCTAGCATCTCACATTTTGTCTCTTGGGTCCCACCAGAGATGCATCAGTCAGAGATGCCATATATGCACGAGCACACATAAACATATATATGATACACTCATATATACATCCATGCATGGAAAATCTGTGCTTGCGTGTATATATTTGTATATTATAGTTTCATTATATATGCACATCCATGCATTTGTAGAATGTGTATATTTGTGTGTGCATATATTGGTGCTCACACATGCAGATGTATTACCTGTACATATCTACACACAGATTTATTACAAGAACTTATCTTATGCAGTTACACAGACTAGATAAGCAAGTACAATGTCCGTGGGGGAGATTGTCAAATGGGGAAGGTCTAGAGCTATGTGCAAACTCAGTGGCATGGTTAAAGCTGCCATGCGGTAGGGGTCAGTTAGCTTCCCCTTACCCCTTTCTGTCTTTCTTCAGAAAGTCTAAACTTGCATCTAAGGATTCTTATCTGATGGAGCCAGGCCCGTGGGGGATAATATCCATGAAATAAGTCAGCTGACTGGGGTCTGTAATTCCATTGGCAGAACCCCTTCTCAGCAGCAGCACTACCTCACTCTGAGATTGTCACATGATTCAGTGATGGCCACTCAGATAGGCCAGATGGCATATAGAAAAGCCAGTGCCACACAGCTAGAAGAGATGGCCCAGTCGGTAAAGTTCTAGTCATTCAGGCTTGAGTACTCAAGTTCAGGTTTTTGTCACCCATGTAAAAAAAAAAAAACCCAGCACAGTGGCACATGCCTGCCAGTCATTGCAGTACAAAGAAGGCAGAGGCAAGAGGATCTCTTGGCTGGCCATCAATTAGCCAAGTTCCAGGTTCAGTGAGAACTTGGCTCAAAAAATAAGGTGCAGAAGTGATTGAAAAAGATATCTGGCATCAGCCTCTGGAATGTACACACACATGTACACACATGCACAGACACCACACATGCACACACACAGGAGTGCACACACACATGCATACACATGCACACACACACAACACATACACAGGAGTGCACACACACACATGTACCAAACATGGAAAAAAAGCCAATACCAGCAAAGCCTGCCAGCCACACCTTGAATGAATTCTAGCAGTTAGAGAGTCCAGGAAGCATATACTTTGATTTTTAAGATTATCAGTTTGAAACTTTCACTAGAAAAAAATGAAACTAGGATGGGGATTTTGCTCAGTCATAGAGCACATGTCTTTCACCCATAAGGGCCTGGATTTGGTCCCTAGCACCAGGAGGGAGAAATAAAAGTCAAGTACAATTTTTAAATTGATCTTTATTCACGTATGCATGTACATGTCTAGGTGAGTATTTGCTGCATGTGTGCAGCTGCCTTGAGAGGCCAAAAAGAACATTGCATCCCCTGGAGCTAGAGTTACAAATGGCTGTGAGCAGCCCAGTGTGGGTACTGGGAACTGAACTTAGGTCCTCTGTAAACAGCCTCAAGATAGGTGAATTTAAATTTGGAAAACAGCAATGTGTTTTCTATCCTGAGAATGTAACCACACTTAGCTAAGAGGTAAGAGCACCAGTGGTCATATAAACACCTGCTGTTGTGTTGGTTACCTCTGTCCACAGTCGTGCCCAGGAAGAGGCTTCCCAGGGTCACACACCCTCCCTAAGACCATTAAACAGAAACTCATCCTGGGATTTCTTGTTTTATTCAGCATAAATTTTGATGGCCAGGGTTTAGAGAAAGTGTAACGTGAAAGGGCCAGGTCTTAGATCTTTGCCATAAGATGAAATAATAATCATATAGGTCATGTGCTTCTCTTCAGGCAAGCCTACCCATAGCCCACCTTCTAGCAGAGTCTGCCCTCATCCGGGTGCTCTCACTCCTCCTTGGCCTGAGTTCCTCCTGAGACTGGAAGCCACAGCCAGCTGATTGCAGTTCATGTCCTGAAGTCTGCAGGCTTTGGGTCTCTGGGGAGTGTTACCACCCACAGTGCCACTGCTGTCTAACCTGAAACTACTTGCAGGGAGCTGGGAGCAAAAGCCAGGGTCTGGGAACACAGGGCTGTGGATGCAGGATGCTGGGCTGAGGCCATCAGCTCCACAGGGCAGTGTGCTTTTCTCTTCATATCATTTCAAAGTCAAAGATAGATAGATAGATAGATAGATAGATAGATACATAGATAGATAGATAGATACATAGATAGATAGATAGATAGATAGATAGATAGATAGATAGATAGATAGATAGATAGATAGAGATAGATCATAGATAGATAGATCATAGATAGATAGATCATAGATAGACAGAGACAGATAGATGATAGATAGATAGATAGATAGATAGATAGATAGATAGATAGATAGAT